ATAATTTAATAGTATATTATTGTATTTTCTTAATATGAGTTCAAATGTTTTATTATTTTATAAGAATATTGTTTCAAAAAGTCAATGTGACATCTCGGACTCGTATCCGGGTCGGGTACGGGTTGGGGTGTTACAAAATTACTTCGCTTTGTGCGTAAAGGAAAACTGAGTTCTAGGTTCATTGGACCTTATGAAGTTCTGAAGAGAGTTGGACCAATGGCATATCAGTTAGCGTTGCCACCAGAGATGGAAAAGATCCACAATGTTTTTCATGTATATATGCTTCAGCGGTATCGATCAGATCCTGCACACACCATAACTCCAGATGAGATAGAAGTTCAATCTGACTTAACATATGACGAAGAACCAGTTCAGATCTTAGCGTTTGAAATCAAGCAGTTACGGAATAAAATGATTCCACTAGTTAAGGTTCTTTGGAGAAACCATAAAGTAGAAGAAGCTAGGTGGGAGTATAAAGAAGATACGAGGAATCAATATCCCCACCTCTTTGTGCAATGAAAATTCGAGGACGAATTTTCTTAAGGGGGAGATTTGTAATATCCAAATCATCGGATCAGTGACCAGAATGTAAGAATTGTTAACTCAGTGATTGAATTTGAATAGTTGAAAAATTCAAGGATTTATGGTGGGATTTTTTATGTAGGTATTGATAGCAATTTTAGATGAGTGAAAAGAGCATTATGTTCTTTTTATGTTAAAGGATAATTATCTCATTTATTAAGGGATAAGCACGTGGAAAGTGGAGAAATTTGGAACCCTTTCTTGCTCACTTCTTCTTCTTGTCATGGACTCCATTAGCAAAGGTAAGTTTTTGTAAATCTGATGGTTTCTTCAATTTTTGGGTTGGTATTGAATGCTTGGGTGTTATATAAGTTTAAGGAAAGCTTGAATAGGATTAAAACAATAAGAGGAGTGATTTAGACATGGATTTGTAGAATGAGTTTTGAAATGAATTTTTGATAAGGTGTAATTTTTAGAGTTTTAGTGATGAATTTGACTTGTCAATGATCAAACTAAAGAGTTAGGAGTTATAAGAATGATTAAAGACTTGGTTGAAATCATGATATGATTTTTAGAGGTAAGAGTTTTTGTGAGATTTTGTATGTTTAAGAGTAGTAAATGAAGACAAGTTGGTTTGGATGTATAAGGGTGAGTGTAAAGGCTTATTGAGGGATAAAAGTTAGAGGTTTAGAAAGATTTTGGTTAATTTTCGAAATGAAAAGGAAATTCTGGGCATGGAGTATCGGTACCGAAAGAATAATATCGGTACTTCAAGGCTAAATCAGTGGAATTCTAAGGGTGATATCGGTACTAGTTGAAGAGGGTATCGATAATGAGTTGGGAGTATCGTATCGATACCAAGGGTATAGTATCGATACCATTTTCAAGATAAATTTCTAGAACGTCAGTATGGTATCGGTACCGTAGGGGGGTATCCATGCCACAAGAGGGAAGTATCGGTACTGTAGTGGTAGTACCGATACTACTAAGCATGAAATGAGTAATTAAGTGTTTATTTCAACTTAAGTTGTTATGATTGAAGATAAGTGATTGGAAGTACGATATTGATTTTCGGTTGTTTTGTGTAGTTGTTGAACATAATCAACTTCCGGTCAACTCGATATTATAAGCTTTAATCCGAAAGTATTAGGGACTTCATTAGGACTTCAGTAGGCAAAGGTGAGTGCAACTTATCAGTTTCGCATTAGATTTGGTGAAGGATTGCGATAAGCCAACCTCAGTATTTTTGATCGAAAACCTTTCAATTTCTTTTATGTTATATTTTACACTGTTTTAATTAAATTATATTATGTAAGCTATGTTTTATGATTATGTGTACATGATTGTGGAAATGTGATCTTTGAGAATGTGTATCTGAAAACACCCAATATGAAAGTGCATATGTGATTAACAGATACTTTAAATAATGAATGATAAATAATTATGTGATTGAAACCCAAGGTATATGTATGAGGATTAGATGTATAGTTGGCATGTCAAGAGTCGAGGGTTTTATGTGGTCCTTCGGGACAATTATGTGGTCCTTCGGGACAATTATGTGGTCCTTCGGGTCAATTATGTGGCACTTCAGTGCAAACTTATGTGGCACTTCGGTGCAAACTTATGTGGCACTTCGGTGCAAACCTATGTGGTCCTTCAGAATAATTATGTGGCACTTCGGTGCAAATTACGAGATGTGGTGAGAGCATTAATGCACAATCTCAATGTACTCAAATACCTAGAGTTCTCAGTAGTATACGTTGGACATTTGGAACAAAACTATACAAAATGAATAATATACATAAGTATACCTTTTTGGACATGGAAAATAAAATTGGAATTCCTTATGAAATGTTTCGATAAAAAACAAATAAAGATTTCAATTATAGATTTTAGTGCTCTTAGTATTTGCCTCACTAAGTCATCGACTTAGCGTGTGATTTTCTCATGCGTAGGTTTGAAGAAAGCTAAAGAGTGATTCATTGAGGATAACATACCCCGTGAAGATCAGATCAAGACAAATTAAATGTAGGTTTTTATTAATTTTGTAAATTGTTGGCATGTAATACATGTTTAATTTGAAATGCTCTGATCTATGTTTTGGAAAACTCCTACTTTTGTACTATTATAAATTATTGAAACTTTGATGTAAGTATGAATGTAAATTTATTTTCTTAAATTGTCCTTATTTGTTAAGTATCTATGATTTGAAAAGTCAATGTGACACCTCGGATTCGTATCCGGGTTGGGTATGAGTTAAGTGTGTTACAGAGATAAATCTTTTGATTCTTCGATTGCCACGACTATGTAGTCACAATTTTGCGTCAATGACCGCAAAATTTTTTCCATCACTTTGACTTCATCGAGTGATTCTTCATTCCTCTTCATTTCGTTTACTACCGTTTTTACACGGCTAACATAGTCATTGATATTTTCCGTATTTTTCATTTTTAACATTTCAAACTCAGCTCTTAGATATTGTAATCGTACCTTTTTCGGCTTTTCTACACCTTGAAGAGATTTTTGTAAAAAATCTCTCACGCTTGTTTTGCGGTCTTTGCATCAAAAAAAATTTCAAAGGTAAATTCGTCCACTCATTGAAAAATAAAGAATAACGTTCTTTTATCTTTTTTTGAGATTCCTTCAGTATCATTTTCTCTTCATTTGATAGGGTTGTTTCTATTACTGTATTTTCGGACTCGGCGTAACCTTTTTCAACGATATCCCAAAATCTTGGGAACCAAATAACAATTTCATTTGAATGCTCCAATTACTATAGTTCACCTTTGTCAATCTCGAGATTTGTGGTTGAATCATGTTGATCATCTTTACCGTTACGTAAACTCGAACCAAGCTCTGATACCACTTGTTGGAAGCGTGAATGAGCACTTGATAATTTTTATAACTCGCACTATTATTAATACGAACCAAAATACAAATATAATACAAACATTAGTTGCGACTAGTTTATAAACACAACCCCATTATCAATCATCATCTCTCGCTTGTTTCATTAATCAAGAAACTTCTAATCTTTGCCACCTTAATCTTGCCAACATATTAAGTCAAAAATCATGTTTGACTTCTAACAATAAGTACATTCGAGTAAGAGGTAGTCACGAGTCTCCAGTTCATTCGTACACGAAACACAAATGTTATCAATATTTCAACTAAAAGAGATAAGGCGATTGCTCGTGGAAAGCCTATCTAAAATCGTCATCCGAACTATCGCCAAATTCTTTGAAATATATTTCGAGTGTCAAATCAATTGATCTCAAGGGATTTTCGCCTCCAATACACGAATGGGACTTCAAATTCCAGCCACCAAAATAGCAAAACCAACAAGAGTGTCTCGAGTGCATTTTATGAATTTCATTATATCTATATTTATTTAATTATATTTGTTAAAAGAATAATGATATGTGAGGAACTTTTTCAAAACAAATAAATGTGCCCTCGTTTTTTTGTGTTGTTAATGTGGCCTTTAAATTCAGAAGAAAAAAAATTAATGTGATCATTTGACTAACGATTTTCGTCATTGACCATTACGATGCTGACATAGTAGTTTACAGTGTTGATATGACGATCAACAGTATTGACGTCACGGTCCAAGATGATTGATTATGTGGCAGATAAACTAAATTAATTTTTTTGGTTGAGTTCAGGGCGAATCTAAAAGAATTATTTGAGTTTTTAGAAAAATAAAATCAAAAAATCAAAAAAATCAAATATAAAAATATAAATCAAATCACTAAACGTGCAGCAGTTAAAAAACACCATTTCTTTTAAAATGCAGCAATTAAATCAGGATCCTTCTCGGTTAATTCTTGTTCACAGCCACCGACACATGCTGATGCTTTCACCTAACACAGTCCCAGCCAGGGATTCATTACATTTTTATGCAACCTAATTTAATTTTTTTAGGTATTAATTAGAGACAATGTGGCCATAAAGTCCATCTTAATCAGCATTGGTGTAACTTTAATTCTTTTAATTTTCTAACTTAAAGCTACATAAAAGATAAAGCTGCGTGGTTTAAAGGAGACCGATGCAGCCAGCAAAGTATTCATGCCAGAGGTATTCTCCGTCCCTTATCGTAGCCCTTTTTCAAATCTCTTTCACCAACTCCCAAACAACAAATGACTGAAAAATTTAAAAGGATAAGACAAAAAAGGCATCAAAACAACGTTACTCAGAGAATATGGAGAATATAGATGAGAAGATAGAATTTAACTTCAATAACATTTGGCACCCATCCTACTGGAGAAACATCTCTAACACCAAATTTTTGGCTTCAATTAATTGGCCCCAATAACCCAGGATATGCAGTTGTGTGGGGGGGAATAAAGTAACAAATGAAACAGAAACTAGAAGACAAGAAATTTACATCAACTTCAACAACAATGATTCGTTATATGCCTACCAATTTAAATGGCTAGTTCAGTAAACTAAAAAGAAATGGAAGTAATACCATCACTTTAACGAGGTGCAGAACGGTTTTTCCTCAATCTACCACGTGTGAGTCGAATGCTTTGTCTCATGAGAGTCTCTTTCGGGGGAGGGTTTGTGCCTTCATTCTGTGGAGGAGGAGGCACCGTTTCAATTTGCATTGCTTCTGCTTCAGTTTCTGCCGGCTGGCTAGTACTTTCAGATGCAGTATCTACTTTTTTGGCTAGTTGAGGATGCTGAAGGGGTTTAGCCACCTCTAAGGACCCATCTCTTCAGCTATTTCCTTTTGGTGTTGAGTTGAAGATGTGCTAGATGTTGGTCAACTTGTAGATGGTCAAGTAAAATTTACTCGTTTCTTTAAAACTAATATACCTACCCTTGTTTTAGGGTACCACAAGTATATAAAGAATGCCAACTTAGCCTCATTGTACATTGGAACCCTTCAAAAAGGGGGGGGGGGAAAGCATAGTGAGAAGCAGAAAAGCAGACGTAAAAAACATATTGTTTAAGGTTCTATACCATGAAACAAAAGCATCAACAATTCTCTCACCAACTGTCAAAACAGCCACCAATATCCTGAAACCAGAAAAGAAAAGTGTGGGAATAAAAAAAAAGTTATAATATTATAAAATTAATACAATCTTAAATGAAAAGAATACCAAATGAAGATCTACCAGTACTGGCACCAAAACAGCAGTTGCCCAATGTTAGGCTTATTCATTTCAACAGTTTTATAACATTCGTACGTTGGATATGCATAGCCAAAAACCATCCTGCCAAATTAAAACTAAAAGATTAATTTCAAGGAAGGGAATAAATTAATACTAAAATGTGAAAGAGAGCCAGATGTAAGGTACAACATACACGAGTCCTCTGGTAAGCAAGGATCCAATCATTTTTGTTTATTTCCTGGAAAAGAGAATACTCCCAGGAGTTAAAAGTCGGCATCAAAATCAACATTATAAATCCAAGAAAACAAGAACAGCCATATGTATGCTACTCTCAAAGCAAAATATCAGCCCCAGAGACAATTTATCTGTCTTTCAGCCCCTATCATACCCAGATTCCTCGAAAAATTAACAATTCAAATCCTTACCATACACGGTATTTTATGAAAGTGATGATATCAGATGGGAAATGCAACTTTTAAGTTCAAAAGAAAAGAAAATTAGTCATAATATGTAGCATCTCCAGACTCCAATTGTCTTCAAAAGAAAACCTAGAGTGATACTATTACCTAAGTTTCTCTTCTTTCGAAAGTAAAATAAAATTAGTTTGTACCATCTCCAAATCTCTTTCAAAAGAAAACCAGGAGTGAATTGTTACTTAGGTTTCCATTTTTCTCTTTATTTTCTTCCTTGATGAAATACCAAAGAAGAGGAATTACTTCAGGTCCCGCTATCGAAACACGCTATAAATCACAATCAAACAAGGCCAATCAAATTGAAACGTCAGAATTTATTAGCCCCATAAATCTAAGCTGGTCCAAATATTTGACAAAGGGTCCAAAAATTTGTCCTACTTGGATGTCAATTTATCATCATCTTTTCTTAGCAAACAAACAGAGGAGTACGAGTGATGTAATGTTACAAGTTCAGAAACCAGAATGATTCAGCTAATCAAACTCTAAACTTACCTTATACGCAAGTCATAACAAGTAACATAGTAAGTATTAAACACTAATTAGATGCAAAAAAAATGCCGTACGAAATTATATGTGTTTAAAATTTATGCCACGTATTCCACCGAGAAGAAGTGAAATCGCAGAAATCATCGAGTGAAACACAAACATCGTCGAGTTAAAAAATAAAAAATAAACAAACAGAAAATTCGATGAAAATCATATATACAGGAAATCCAGAAAAAAAATCTTAATACAGTTATCAACATTCAACAATGTAATGGCAGATGAAATCTCACTTGCGGTGATAGCCGAGTCTATCATAAAAAAGATGTCGGAATCGGCAGAGCGATTGGTACCTTTTATCCGTATTTATAACAAGACGGTGTAAACAAGAAGGCAACACGATTAGACCCGTAAATGATAGTTAAACCAGAGCACTTAAGCGATACACTAGAGGATTTCAAGAAAATAATATATGAGTAGTTCTGGAGAAGTTTGCCGGCCAACATTAAAATCGGCGCCGCCAATAAACGACGGCTAACCGTTGCGAAGTCGGTGGTAGCGATGAAAGAGTGAAGAAAAGAAAAAGAGTAAGAGAGAGAATGAGGGATAGGATTGTAATCTTGTTTATCAAATACCCTTTACGTTCGGATGGGTTTAACCGTTAAAACAAAGTTACCTATTATACCCTTTTGGAACAAGAGATGAAGCTTCTAATTTCCAAAGGACGTAATATAGTAATATTTTGAAGAGGATAAGGATTAACAAGGAGAAGTAGAAAACAAATAAAAGAGGAAGAATCATAAGTTGATTAAGGGGTTGTTTGTTTGCCTCTTAATGAATTATTCAGCGCTGAAAGTTAAATCATTCAGCATTTAGTGCGTTTATTTCGCACCTCTAAATGATTTCAGTACTGGCTGATTCAATAAAATAGTGCTGAATAATTTAGTACAGAAGTACATTATGAATGATTCAGAGCCATTATCAAACAGTATGTCACATTCATAGCTAATTCATACATAATTTTTGAATCATTCAACGTTTAATCATTATGAAATAAACAAAAAAATCGTAAGTGATATTTATGGCACGATAACAATCAAAGTTTTATTTGCTTGTAATTATTTTTATGAGAACACTTTAGGGTACAATTAGCAAATCAGATGGTGGGTCCAATATTATTTGACCAATGTGTGTCAAACGAGATGGGTGAGCCCGCTACTTGGCCTCAAATTGCGGTAGAAATAAATGGCTTCTTTCATTTCCAGTTTCCACAATTACGTGGTCATCACCAACAACATGCAGTTGTCAGCCAATGTTCCACATTTTGTAAAATTGCATGTATATACGTGCCTCTGCACAATGGCAACCCTGCAACTGAACATGTCATCTATCAGTCTATACTACTAACGAGAAATTCAGATTCGAAGGAAGGGTCTCTGCCCTTATTTAGACTCCTGGATATACCTAGAGTAGGGTAACTCTTTTATATTTGGGGAGTAAATTACAAATTTGATAACTAAATTTTATTTTACCTCTTATTTCACTCATTGTACTTTAAATATTTGGGGAGTAGTTGTTTTCTCACTAACGAAGCTACAAATGGGTTGTTATACATATACAAAACGACGTTGTTTTAGTGAAATTTTTTTAAAACGGTAAAGTGACCAAAAAACCTAATGTATTAAATTTAATGAGAAAATTGAAAACTCTTAAAATTCAATGAGCAAAATAGGAGAGATTAAAATTCAATTATGAAATTTGTAATTTATCTTTTTTTTTAAATGGTTAAGGTAACTCTTAGTTGTCAACCTTAGGGGGTATAAATCAACGTAGTATTTGAAGTACAAAATGTTTATATAGATTTCAATCATTAAACTAAAGAAATGAGTATAAACAAAATTTTATATTTATTTAATAAATGAGTGAATACGAATAGATGTGTGTTCAGTTCGTTTATGTTCATGAATAAACTTGTTTATTTGTTTGTTTATAAGTTCGCTTATCGGTTCATTTACTCGATTCTCCTTTTCCTTTTGATTTTTAAATTTTAAATATTGGTGAAGATATGAGCTAAATTCAAACTATGAATCCTAAGAAACATAAGGAGTAATGACGAAATTTCACCATTTTCTTTGGCTTGCAAATAAAAAGATAAAAATTGAGTGTTGGTTGTGAAACACTAAACGTATATGTTCGCAAACGTTAGATAAATATGTTCGTGAACACTAAATAGACGAACAAGAACACATTAAAAAATAAATAAAAGAATACAAACCAAACATGAACATTTTCAAAAATAAACAAACGAACATAAACATAAATTTATTCGTTCAAACTCGATTCATTTACACTCATAATCTTTAACCTACATTTATTCACGGTAGATTCTACTTGTTTTACTCATCAGTAAATTACCTCTTAATTAATAGAGGTTTACCATAAGAGCAACCCTAATCACTGAACAATAGTAGGAGAGTTTTATTCAAGCTAATAAGAAAATTTTAGGAAATCAAATCACTTTTATAGCTGTTTTTTGTGTCTAACATATTGTGCGTCGCTTGCTCACATTAAATCAATCAGTTCAAGCCCATTAGTAGTTACAATTCTAACCACGACATTGCAAAATGCATGAGCTTAATAGAATGTCAGGACTGCTTCGCTTCGCTTCAAATCAAATAATGGGAAATGCAAATTAGCTATAAAAAGAATGCCACATTGATTAAATAGTTCACATTTCTAACATTTACCACAATAACATTGGTATTGTTAGAAATAAAGGGAAAACAATTCAGAAACAACATATTGGTATTTTCAGAAATTAAGGGACTGAAAAAAAAAGAGTCGAATTGGTTTCAAGCTTGAAAATAAGCAACGATTCTGAGTTACTAATACACAATCTTTACTTGCAGATTGTGCATGCATGGATGTTGTAAGAGGCTGCATTTAGACATAATAGTTTGGTCAAAGTTAATTTTCTAGTGAACGACTGGTTCCACAGTTACTCCTTGCAACAAAAAATATTGCAAGTAAAGTCTGGTCTTGGTTTCTTTCAAGATTTAAAGCAGTAATAAGAGACAAAAATCAAGTTGATGACCTGCATTACAGAGCAAAGTAGGATGTTGTGTTTTATCTTGGATCTGAATCCTTGGGAAAAGCCCAAAACATAACAAAAGGAGGTCTGAAAAGGACCACGAGGCAGGGTCCATATTATGATATTATCAGTCGTGTTTTCGATTTCGTGACATCGTTTTGGATTGGGTTAAATACCAAGCATATTTCGAGCTAATCCAACTTCCAAACGGAAGTAACATACGAGATCAGCTTCTTACACTCCATGCATGAACAGTGGTGGGAGGATGTCGCCATAAAACATTCTTGTAAACTTTCTCTTCCTAATGTGAGAGGTTAACATTGTCGGCCAACTAATATAAGCCAAGTAAAAGCGCCCATGTTGCACATGGGGTTTTTGTGATAGATTTCTCACCCTCTGCTTCTAGCATTATTATAGCTTCTGCATCTCAGCCATTAAAAAAAATAATACACTTTACCTTGCACATGTTATTTTCTATCGGAAGTTTCTTTCTTCTATCAAAATTTTCGGACTTGATTAATTTTCAAGACACAACGGTGTAGAACATACATGTAAGTTTCTCATTGCTACGCAATACAATTATTAGGACTATGCACAAACCAAACAACCTTAGTGATTAACGAATTGTTGTTATTTCTTGAGGTCTCGAGTTCGAGCATTATGTATGCCGGAGTATAAACGTTCAATGTCAAATAGTTGATAGTCTTTGAACAGATATTAACTAGTATTTACACCAGACTAATAAAAAATTATTTAAGATTCTGTTCTATTCTCATATTTGGCAAGAAATTTATGGTCACAAGGTAACAGAAATATACATAGAACCAAAACTTAAATGTTATTATGTACTTTAGCATTGAAAAAGAAAGGGAAATATATAGGTTTGAATGGTAGTAAATTAGGGATTAAATAGAAAAGGATGAACCATTGAACTTACTTTTTTTACTAATGAAATAATGTTTCAGCTGTACTTGCATGGAATCATTGTTTATTTAGAAATAACTTTCATGTGAGATTTGTTAGCTGGTTTGTGTTTGTTTGCTTTTAATCAGAGGTTCCATAATAATTCCCGATAGAAATGTAGCTTTGTTTAGATGCTCACGCCGTTTTCTGTGTGGAGGAAAACAATGGTTTCTTTGGATACTGCTCCGGACTTCATCTAATTCACAAAGGAAAAATGAATACCCAACCTTTCAACCTTGAAAAAAACCTCAAAAATTAATGTGTAAAAGCCCTACAGCCAGGCCGGTCCCTGATCCTGGGCAAGAGGGTCCCCT